TCCCTCCTCTCCTCTCCCCCTTTCCCTCTTCTCCCTCCCCTCCCCCTTCTCTCTCCTCCCTCCTACTTCTCTCTCTCCCTCTCCTTTCCTCTCTCCCCCTTCTCTCTCTCTCTCCCTCCTTTCCCACTTCTCTCCCCCTTTTCTCTCTCTCACTCCCCTTTCTCTCTCCCCCTTCTCTCTTCCTTCCTCTCCTCTCTCCCTCTTCCTCTTTCCCCCTTTCTCTTCTCTCTTTTCTCTCCCTCCTCTCCCCCCTTTCCCTCTCTTCTCCCTCTCTCTCTCCTCCCTCCTACTTCTCTCTCCCTCTCCTCTCCTCTCTCCCCCTTTCTCTCTCTCTCCCTCCTTTCTCTCTTCCTCCTTTCCCCCTTCTCTCTCCTCTCCCCCTTTTCTCCCTCTCCCTCCCCTTTCCCTCTCTCCCTCTCTCCCTTCTCTTCCCTCCCTCTCTTCTCTCCCCCTCTCCTCTCCCCCCTTTCCCTCTTCTCCCCTCTCCCTCCTCTCCCCCTTCTCTCTCCCCCTCCTACTTCTCCCTCTCCTCCTCTCTCCCCCCTTTCTCTCTCCCTCCCTCCTCTCCCCTCTCCCTTCCCCCCTTTCTCTCTCTCTCTCCTACTTCTCAGCTTCACTTCCCTGTTTTGTAGTTCCGACAGCAGCACTTCGACTACGAAGCCCATCGTCCATTGCATCAGGTTTGGGGAAAGAGTCCTGACCTGCTTCCTCAGAGTGGCAGAGTTGAAACTTGCCCTAGAGGAAACATCTTCCAGACTGAAATGTCTGAATTTTAAAAAAAACAACCCACTTATCCTGGGTTTGTGAGGTAAAATATTTCCTATTTTCCAAAAGGAGATGTGCCAAAAACAGGGAGTAGACTATCAGAAAGTTGGAAAACCTTAGAAGAGGAAAAAGTAAAGGAAACAATGGTGGTATGGATGAAGAATTTTGGTTATGATATTAATTTAGACAATTGGCAAATATTTTAAAAAAACATCTTTGGCCACACCGTTCAAAGAAAATTTGTATAAATTATTTTATAGATGGCACATACCTCCATCAAGATTGGCAACAATATATCCAAAACTTTCCCTCATTTGCTGGAAATTTAATAAAGAAAAAGGAACATATTACCATATGTGGTGGAATTGCAAAGAAGCCCAAAAATTTTGGCAAAAAATGCAGATGGCTTGAAGAAATATGTAGGATTAAAACAGACCGGAGTATTTCTTGTTAGGGATCAATATGGAGAAATATGTTAAGGACAATATATATTTAATGATTCTTATAATCACAGCAGCAAGATTCGCTTACGCGCAACAATGGAAAAGTAAAGAAACTCCAAACAAATTCGAAATAATTAGGAAAATTTTGATGTGCGCAGAAATGGACAAATTAACAAAGGAATTAAAAAATAAGGATAAATTGGACTATTATAAAATATGGGATAACTTTTATGGTTGGTTAGATAAGATCAAGATAATAAGAAATGATTTAATGTATATATACATATATATAGAATGAAAATATGTAGGTGTACTATCTTAGCAATGTAAAACAAAGATGTCTATTAGGAGGATTGTACCATATTCAATATTTTTAATGTATATTTTTTTGTTTGTGTTTGTTTAATAAAGAAAAAAATTTATTAAAAAAAGTTGGAAAACCCAACTGCAATTTTAAAAAAATGTATTATTAAATTTATATTGCTGCCTATTCACCCATAGTTGTCTACTTACAACCATTCATTTAGCAACTGTTTGAAGTTATGACAATACAAAAAAAGATGACTGAGTCCTCACACTTACAACCATCGCAGTGTCCCTGCAGTCACATGACCAAACTTGGCAAGCGGCGTAAATTTTTAAGATGGTGGCAGTATCTCAGGATCACATGAGCAACATCTGTGACCTTCCCGGCTAGTTTCTTACAAAGTCAATGGGGGGGTGGATGCTGCATTCACTTAGTGACCATGGGCTTCACTTAATGACCACAATGATTTGCTTAAGGACCATGGGGAAAAAAAGCTCCTTAAATAGACTGCGACTCATTTATCAACTGTTTCATTTAGCAGCGGAGGTTCTTGTGCCAATTGTGGTCGTAAGGCGAGGACTACCTATGTTGAAGGTGTCTCTGGAAGGAGACTCCATCTGTCCCCATATTAGAAATAGAATTCTTGGGGAATGAGTTAACTTGAATAATAAGAATGAATGATGCAAGAGACAGAAAAATTATTTAGGTATCCATCTGCTAGCCACTCCGGCCTCTGTTCAATCCGAAACTTGGTTCCAAGGAAGCAAACGCGAGACAAAGGTAACAGC